ACACTCATTTACACTTTTTTCATTCTGATGATGACAGTGGATTCTGTCGAAATATCAATGAAATAAATACATTATGATTAGTTAATCATGTTTATAGCAGTTCTGTACTTCATTACCTCATTATTTAAATCATCATTAACTGCTCTTTCTCCAAACTTTATTAACACATGATAGCTTGATGTTGTTCATTTTTTAAACGTTATTTTCAGTTTAGAAAGTATAACAGACTCGTTTTTAATACGCTTTTCTGTAACTAAAGTGATTGCAAAACAAATTTACTCATAACAACTCATTCTGTTTTTTAATGTAATACCAGAGTTTCGCAGTATTATTCTATGATTTAGTCTTAAAATGTTTGTCTTACTGTTCATATGTAAGTAGGTAGAAATGGTCATAACATTTTAACAAATTGTAATAAATAGAGCCGTAAATCGATAATGTGTTGTTAATGATGGCAACATTTTGTATCCACTCTTGAAAATTGAATAGAGCCATGTATCTTGTTATTTCATACTTGATGAATCCATACTTTCTATGTTATAACCAATTTTAAAAATGAAGACATTTTTATTTATAATGAAAGATGAGCTTTTATCATTTTCTTTACAGAGATACCATAGAAACATAGCATATAAAAAAAGTATTTATTAAATCTACAAAAAAAAAGTTTTTATTTGTTCGAAACAAACTGTTCATTAATTGTTTTATATATCAAATATAAATTGAATAATTTTTTTTTCACTACTCGCCACTGGCCGCAAATTTCATTAAAAGTGACCATATGTTGCGTTCAAGAAGCTTTTTATTACAGTATTGGAGAAAAAAATAGAACTGATTTGTTCTTTAATTTTTCTGCTCAATTTTAACAGTTGAAACAAGCTTAAAAAATATAAATAACTGAAAGAGTTGCCAGCCAGAAGCAGATGTATAAAAATACCATCCACAATGCCGAAAACGATGTTTCTAGCAAACTAAAACCAAGTACTCTAATTTGCTTGGCATGTTTTTGTAAACACTGCAGTCGTATAGGTCAGATATTTTCGGACAAAACTAAGACGTCTCTGAGCTGTCCACAACTGCATTAAACTTCTTCCATTAAACTGCATTCAATTTGCGAAAAATTCAAAAAACAAAACAAATCGATCTGATATTTTCTTTTCCAGTACTGTGAATGAATGAATTCCAAGCCAAATGAGTAAAAAACCAGTGTACAAATTTGCACAAAAAATAAAGTGTTGAAGAAAGAGTAAACTTTATAAAATAGAACTTTTAATCGATAAAGTCTTTTTAGTTTGGCGATTACCTTCCAGTTCTTTTGTCATGATTACCATGCGACTGAGCACTGTTCTTTGGATTTAAAAGAAAAATTTTGTTACAACTTTTAAAAAGTTATAACCGAACTGACAAATGGAGAAGACATTTTGGTATTCTTAAAAGATATATGTCTGACAATAGACTGTTCGAATTGAGGCAAAAATAATGATCTTTTAATTTTATTCTTGAAAAAAAACCGAAGTATGAAAAGAAACAGAACACAACAGTGAGTTAACAGTTATAGCGCAAACAAGAAAAAGATAAAAACGAGTAGAGCAAGGTAGCTTCGTTCTTTAAATAATTCAATCACGATTCACCATTACCGACTAAGATTACGCCAACTGGGTATAGAGAGGATACATTAATAATATTTTTACCCGTTTACTTACATAACAAAATAACAATGATTTTCACTGCTTTATGCACCAGATTTCGAAAAAGAAAAATCTCGCAGGTCCCTCCAATTAGAGAATATTTTTTATCTTTTCTATCAGGAAAATGCTGATGACTTTTTAGTTGTCACACTCAGGTTGTCTAGTTCTTGTTCAATATCGTCTAATGCTTCATCATCATCAAATAAATCTTCATCAATGTCTACATCATTCATTACACGATCTTGACTGTTATCTTCATTGTCTTCATCGTCTTCATCTTCATCGTTTTCTTCCTTCATACCATTCGAATAAAATGAAGCCGCCGACTCAGTACCACCGCCACATGCCTGGTCCAATTTATTTTCTTCTTCAAGAATAACTGCTAGAAAAAACAAATACATAACTTGTACATAACGAAGAATAGAGACAAGTTCATTTACCTTGAGCAGCAGCAATGTTTCTTCTTGCTTGTTTTTCTTTTTCGATTTTTCGGAATTGGTCAAAACGATCATCGGTAGCAATTGTACCAGAATTATCGGCTTCGCGCGCTTCCATCGATAAGAAATCATCACTAAGATCACGTATTGTAGTTTTTTTTATCGCAGCTGCTTCTGACTAAAAGTAAGAGACAGATAATGTCGTATATTATGAATTATTTAAAACAAAAAAAAGATTTATTACCACTTTTTCTTCTTCTTCTTCTTCGTCTTCTTCGTCTTCATCATCTGTCCGATGTTTATAATCAATCTCATCGCTAAAATATTTAAATATAACCTAAATTATTACGGTACTTAATGTATAGAAAAAAGACCATTGAATGAAAAAAATGGATAACCTACTCAGCATCGTCATCATCAGTTCGTAAAAGTTCTGGATTAAATGTAAACATTTCTCTGCCGCTAAGTCCCAGTAGGCGTCCATGTTTTACATAATCGTTTCGTTTTTTTTCTTCGTCTTTTACTAATTGTTGTTTTTTCTCTTCAACTTTACGTTTTTTCCAGGCAAGAAATGAATCTAGTGTTACTTTTGTAACACTGGGACCTAATGCAGCACGTTCACGTTCAACTAAATCTTCTAACGATATCACTTCTTTTTGATCATCCAAAAGTTGACGTTCACGTCTTAACATATAACCTAAATATATGCAAAGAAGAAACAATTTAAATAAGAGTTTTAATTACGAGAGCATGTCTCAATGCCGTTCCAGTGGCGTGGAAAAGAATTAAAGGATTCAAACGTATCACTTTACGCATTCTCGTAGTCCCCAATTATTAAATATTCAAAATCAGCCGAAATATTTAGAACTCTATATCAGATTTGATTGTCTTTAATGTTTAATTCTAAAGTTCTTGACCCTGACACAAAAAAAACTGTCTTATGTCAAAGATGCTTCTTTAATTATTCACCTAATTGCCAATTAGAATCACGCCATTATGCTTTTTTTAATAATTTTCATTCAGAATTGAGAATCGAACGAAACCTGTACAAGACTACAGTTCCGTTTAATTCCTCCATCTGAATGGCATTGAGTCACAACTGTACTGTCGGATCAAAAAACACTAACCTGGTGGTAACGCGTGTCTGTACATACAAGATGGCCCATTTCCACAGGTCCAGAACCATCCATATGTGTTATTCTCAACAGCCTCAAGAAAATATTTACAAACCTAAAAAGTCAAATGAAATCAGTGAGTGGATCTTGAAATAAAAAATTGGAGTGTTTCTATCTCAACACGTACTATCTGTGTAGCGTTTTTCTTTCGATTTTCTTCACCATGTCTTCTTTCAACAACATCCGCTAATTTTGCGTCATCCCAACTTTCCATAGTTTCTGAAACCAAAAAAGGCACGTTTGTTTATTATTGTATAAAATTAAATTACTAGTATACCATTTTCTTTATTTCCATTCTCTCTAAGGTCGTCGTAAATACTTCTCTTCTCAGCTTTTCTTTCGATTGTCAAATCATGTGAAAATTTACATTTGTCGCCTTTACTACATAATCCTTGTTTGAAATACATACATAAAACTGATTTCGGATCGGTACCTAAATGAAACAAGCGAAAAATTAACCCAAGTAAAACACTAGTTGTCTCAACACAGCAAGATCAATAGAGCGGTAGCTCTATTCTATGTGAGATTTCAAATATTTGCTACTGCACCTTTGGCCAAAACTTGTTGTGTTATTGTGGGTTTAAATAAGATTTTCAATTCGTCCTCAGCTTTCTTCTTGTCCTCTTTACGCTTTTCTTTTTCCTCTTGTAATTTGGCTAGCTAAAATAAATCGGTTTTTGCAAAAGTTATCTATGATCTTCATTGTTAATCTTACTTACATCTCGAGCCGTTTTTCCAGCATTTTGCACTTGATTTTGGACTTGTTGAATAAACTTTTGATTTTTATTTCCTTTTTTATTTTTCAAACCAAACGTTTTGTCCTACCAAAAAGAATAACGCTAGGTAAGGAAATCAACGATAAACAGGCAAATAAGGTAGCATACTTCAATCACTTTAGCCTTTTGTTTTTCAACAGTCTTTTTGCTTGGCCCTTGAGCTTTTGGAGGCATTACTGTGTTGAAAAATCACCAAAATTTATCTAGCAAAAATAGAAAATAAAATTCAATAACTGTAAATCTAAACTCTTTTTATGTTTCCAAGATAACTATAGTTTCTCAGATAAGAGTCTTTCTGATGCCAGCAACATCAAAGCAATTCTTTCTCGAGCTCTCGAACTAAATAAGTAAAACACTGTTTATGTTGCTATACATAACAAAAAAGTGATTTTCGACTTATTTACAAACATTTTCATGAATGAATAAATGATATGATGTCAATTACGATGTCGCAATCAATCCGTACACCAAGCGATATGGTAATATATTCGAATTGCTAACCAATCAACTTTTAATTTGCATTAATATAGGAGACTAATTACATTTTCATTTCATGCCTCTATCAGACAGTAGTGCAATAAAATCTTTACAACATATAAAAAGCTTTTATTTCTCGATTTATTATTTGTTTTTCTAGTGATATTAGTTGTATATGTGCAGTGCATACATGTCTTATCGAGATGCATCTATTATTGGCTAAGGTAGATACAGGCTCCAAAACATCAATAACAAACTCGAAAAATTTTGAGTCGAAAAGATATTTAAAACGGTAACTTTTGTTTAACTAATAACGCATAAAAACTAGCGTATATGTTGGTACGGACTCAACTCAGCACATCGAATGCTCAACCGAATATTGTCATTTAATACACAACAAGGACGCCTCCTCACAAATCTATTTTTTACATCGGGCAAAGAATTCAGACGAAACTGGAAGAGATCAAAGATTATGCTGGGATAATCTATGGTAAAAATTTGAAGTCAAAATCTGGAAATCGTTCCGGACTTATAGTTGTCGAAAGGACGACAAAACGGGGCTGCTACCAACATTTCGAAGATTTGTTTTTCGCCACAACTACGAAGTTCACAATGATTTTAAATTGTTTTAGTTACTTTAATCCAGCTGTCTGGTCAATTTCGTCTCTGTATTCTTCGGCATCATTTGGCACAGAAAAGTTGAAAAATCACACGAAGTGCCTTCTGTTCAGTAGTTTGTGTCTTTTCTATCAGTGAGAGAGAAATTCGAAAATCATCTTGCCAGAAAGCTTCGTTTGGTTTCAGCTTGAAAGTAAAAGATTATCATTGTTGGCTTAGTGATCTAGGAGGAATTTCAAAAGAGTTTGCTTAGAAATATCCAAAATGGAGGTTTGAGAAAAATGTATTACATGTTTTAAGTTCATGTGACGAATGCTAAAATATGTATTGCCATTGTAACAATGTAATACCAGTGTGACGAAGACTAGTCATAACGTATATTTGAAGCAACAGCATTCCACAAAGTGTAATGAATAGAACCACTTTTGTACAGAAAAGAGATATTTTCCGAAGTGTGTCGTCCATCTTTGTATTGTAAACACACGTCATTTGTAAAAAGAATAGTAAATATCTGGTATATCATATTGATTATTATCGAAAAACTATGCTCCGAAGTTTTACAAATATGACCTTAACTTTAACAAATTAACGATGATTCTCCTATACTAACAACGTTGATGGCTACTTTCGCTGGTCCACCTTGCCACAGTGTATTTGATATATTTTTATTAATTATACGTCTGTTTAGTACTCTTCAAAGAAGATACATTGTGTTTGCTTTTTTCTGACACTTTATTGAACTGATGAAGACGCAAAAACATCTGCATATCTTTAGCGAAGTACCCTTAATTTTAAGATTTTCTCTCTTTTTCTACACATGGCCAAGTTAATGATATCGCATGCTAGTGGAAGATGGGTGTCATTTCATGCGAGCTCTCATAACAGTCTCGGATAAACTAAAATCATTAACAATTGGCAGTGATGAAAGACGACGTCAACTTGATCAATTTTTCGATATTCATCCAT